ATAGCCACAGGAGACTCCTGCACTACCTGCCTCTCTCTCCTACCTTTTCTGGCAGTAACCCATCTACCTGACTGTATCTCTGGTATACTTCCCTTCCTACAACTGCTATCCATCACATCACACCTCCAGTTGTTGTAAATTCCTCATTGAGTCTAACTGCCATTCCAACCGATCCGTGTGATCCGAATAGATTTGCAACCAAACACGCTTCCTGCAGACATAATCATTAGTAATATGGAAACTCTCCCTAATCTTCCATATCCAACAGGAAGAGCACAACACTTTGCTAAAGGCCATCGTTGCACCTTACCAAATCTACAAACCCAGAAAATAACAGAGTCTTACTGCTCCAGGCTAACTTAGTACCTATGTTTTATATTTTTAAAGTTTAATCAAGAGACAGAGCTCAATTAAACATATAATCAAAAAAGAATCCCTGTACTCACTATTGTAGATTTACAAAACAAAACAGTCAGATTGCACTTTAAAGAAATGGTAAGAACTGCTGATGCTGGAGTCTGAGGTAACACCGTGTGGAGCTGAAGGAACATAGCAGGCCAGGCAGCATCAGAGGAGCAGGAAAATTGACGTTTTGGGTTGGGACCCTTCTTCAGTACTCAGCTGTCCCCTGCTGTGATCTCCCCACGCAGGTTTTTCCAAGATGAGCTGTGTATTTCGATGTTTTTTTTTGCTTAGACGAACTGTGATGTCCTGAGATACTTGAAATCGAACAGCAGAGACAGTCAGCTGTGCAGATTCACTGCTGGGTCAGACATTTCTCTGTTTTATTCACTTCCGTGTGGTCACTGCCTTTGTCTCTCTTCCTCTTTTTTTAAAGTGCCACTGGTTTAATGATTCTTCTCCAAAGTTCCAAAACGATGCAAAAGCTTATAAAATCAGTAATTACCGCTCCAAGAATTCAAGGAAATCAGGACCAATGCTGAAATTACCTCAAAAAAGGAGGAGCTCCTACAGTCTCATCTTTTTTCCATCCTCCATCTTTGATTACTGAAGATGTCTAAACATATTGATCAGAAAAAATGTTTAAATTTAAAAAAAAAATCTAAAATTAAGTCCCAGGGAAAAGGAGGGCTTATGTGATGCAGTGGTAGTGTCCCTACCTCTGAATCAGAAGGACTGGTTCAAGTCCTCCCTGTTCCAGAGGTGTTATAATATCTCTGCACAGGTTGATTTTAAAAAAACAAAGCAGATTCAGACCTCCTATTTTTCATTGGGGACCTGGGGTGGAGAGGGTTTTACTCTGAAGTTTCGCATAACTGCAGGCTATGGTGATTCATGGATTCCCAACCCAATGCTGTGGAGCCCATGGGTCATGTCTATATTGGTTATGGGTGATTGCACTCCTTTTTAGTTGTTTGAGAAATCTTTTGTTGTGTATTTAGTTGTATTTCAGCTGTATGCCCCTGATCTTTGGATATCTGGCACAGAGCGGTGTGGGCAAATCAGAAAACCTCCTCATGGGTCTGCTCCTGAGCCTGGCCAAGCTGGCTGTTAACAGGTCCAGCCAGAATGCTGTGGAGGGGTCATATCTGCCGACTGCCCCTCTTCAGCGGTTATCTTTCTGCCTGGGTGTCATTGGAGAGGGAGCATGGGATGTCTACCAATGCTGTTGATGCCTTTAGAGAAGGGTGGTCACTACGGGGCTCAGTGTTTTATTTCTCCCTCCAATTCTATTTTGATTTAACCCCTTCCCCTGACTCTATGCACCTCATTTTTGATGACTTGCATTGCTCATTATGGGCTTTGCATGTAATTTCTATTTGGTGACATGGGTAATTTGCTGGTAGAAGTTAATGGTTGACAAAGAAAAGTCATGGTAATTTGGTAGTAGAAAAGCCATTCAGTTTGTATTTTAAAAAAAAAATTGATGCTAATTAATTGGTGGATGGCAATAGTTGAAAAGAAAAGTCATGGTGATGTGAAAAACCGTTCAGTTGTGTGTAAGGGCACTTCTGGATATAAAAGAAAAAAAGAGAAAGAAGATCTCCGGTCAATATATATAAAAAGCAGTACCAATATAAATTTTAAAAAGAAGCAGACCCAGGCAGGGCTTTTGTGGTGCCGTGGTAGTGTCCCTGCCTCGACTATGAGGCCAAGGGTTCAAGTCCCACCTGACCCAGAGGTATGTAGTAATGTTCCTAGACAGGTTTCTTAGAAAATAACATAAAGCAGACCCAGGTAGGGTTCTTGTGGTGCTGCGGTAGTGTCCCTAACTTTGAGCCATGGACCTGAGTTCAAGTCCCAACTGCTCCAGAAATATGTCATAACATCTTTGAACAGGTTGATTAGAAAATCGGCAAAATCGTCTGTACTAGGCTGGGAGTTGCTTATGTATGCCAAGAATAATGTTCTATTTTGGTGTTCGACAATAAATGATGTTTCTTTCCAGTCAGGCTTCCTGAGTTATGACAAAGCCCAAGGACCGAAACCTGTGGCACCCCACTAGTTACATCATATTTATTCCACCTCTCTGGTTTCTGTTTGTGAGCCAATCCTCTATCCAAGCCAATAAATTACCCCAGCCCCATCTGATCTTAACTTGTGTATTAACCTTTTGTGTAGCAACATCACATGCCACCTATACTATATCAGCAGGATCCCTATTATCTACTTTGCTCGTTACATCTTCAAAGAACTATAACATATTAGTCAAACATGATTTACCCTTCATAAAACCATGCTGACTCTGATGGATTGCGTTTTTACTTTCCAAACTCCTGTTGTTGTTTCCTTTAATACTGGATTCTACAAAATTCCCATCGATGTTAAACAAGCAGGTCTTTTGTTTCCTACTTTCTGTCTCCTTTCCTTTTTGAATAAGGGCATTGTTTTAACATTTTTCCAATCCACTGGAACCGTTCCTGCATCTGGGGAGTTTTGGAATATTATAAGCTGTGGATCCACTACCTCTGCTGCTACTTCTGTTAAGACACTAGGTTTTAGGTCATCAGGTCCTTGGAAGTTGTCCGCCTTCAATCTCAAAAATTTGCTGTGTAATTTTTTTCCCTAGTGATGATTGTTCCTACCTATTCTATAATCTCTGCATTGCGTATCATTGTTGGGTTGTTACTGATATTCTCCACCGTAAAAATTGAGGCAAAATATTGATTTAGTATCTCTGCCATTTCTGTATATTCCACGATTAATTTCCAGTCTCTCCTGCCAATGAACCAATGTTCATTATAGCAATGAGGCTTCTTTGAGCAAAATCAATCGCAGGGAGGATGGGATAGAAACAAGCTGCAAGAACCTGTTGTCTCCAATCCTTGAGAATGAGTGAGGGGCAAGTGGATCAACTGTTAAGCTTGAAATGAATAACATCTGAAGTGAGAATCACGGGACATAGAGCTTATTTCACATTCCAAAGGGTTAAAGATAAATGTTGCAAGTGGACTGATGGGTAGTGGGAAGGAGTGATATTATTGAGTAATTGAAGGAGCAGATGTAAAGTGAAAGGAGAGGGCTCAGGCAGAACATAAGTACTATGGATACTAAATTGGAAGGAACTCCTGAGCACTGCTGTGTTCATTTACTCCACAGTCCCTGTGATCTCAGGAGAGTTATGTGATATGCTTCATCTTGGCAGATGCTGACTAACCTGTAGGGTATTTCTGTATTTATTTTTGAATTTCAACATGGCTAAATTTTAATTTCTATATTGTTGCTGATTGTTTAAGAAATGTATTCCTATTGTAATCTATTTTTGCATTCATATATTTAAATGTTTGAAAGTTTTTTTAAAACAGTGGGGTGTCACAGAAGATTGATAATTTGAATCGAATTTAGGACGTATATTTCCAATGGGGTAAGGGAACTCATGATCATAATCTAAGAAATTAATCAGGAAATAACAGAAAAGGTTGATTCAGCTGCTTTGTTTCAGACTCTTCATATGGTTTAAGACTTAATATGTTATTGAATTGAAAGGCTGTTGAGAAAAATAGCAGGTTGATTATCTTTGTCCTGGCTATCTGAGAGTCCATAACGTAACATGGCGAAAAATATGTTTGTTATCATAGTGAACAGTTTTCTGTTGAGGGATGTATTTTTACTTAGGAGTTGCATGATTTTTGGCGAGTAATCAAACAAATTAACTCAGTAGCTTTGATGCCTTTTGCCTGAATTCTGGAAATGCAAGATTGAATAAACTAATTGCCTTGAAACTTGTTTAAATTTCTATTTGTGAGGTCAATGAACAAAAATTATTAGTCCTACAGATAAATAGCATTCTGTGATCAGTGGTATAGTATTGAGTGCCTTTTAACATTTGGTTTTGTCGGGAGCTATAGCTTACCATATACTTTTAACCTTGCCTTTGCTGCTTTTCTAATCTCCTCAGCTGAAGATTTTAACACTTTGGGAATGCAGTTTCATAGCTCCCAGACAGTGTTCAAGTCCAATCTGATAGTCATTATGGGTATGAGAGTCATGGAAGTGAATACTAGCAGGATATTCAACTCTGGGGAGCTAAAATCTGAAACTAAAATAAACCAGGAAGTGCTGAGAATATTCAGGAGGTCTGATAACATCCATGGGGATAAAGAAACCAAGTTAATGTTTTGAGTCAAATTTGACATTTTAGAACTGAAATGAAAGAGAAGGTAGAACCAGCCTTGAATCCTGACTCAAACCAGTGTCTGCATTTGGGCTTTCCAACTGTATCGTATTAATGTTCAAACAGAATATTGCATGATTGTTTTCTCCCTAACCCGGTGATGCTCAACTGCATCATGTCATATAATCTTGGCTGAAATTTTCTAACACGGGACAGATTGGGTATCAAACCTGTTACTTGCCTGGCCTATATTTATTAGCTAGTCATTGACCAAATTAATTGAACTAACAAATGAGAGAATTTCTTTTACTCTTAAAAACATAGCTTTAGAAAAGAAACAGTGATTCCTGGGTACAAGTGTAAATTTGTTTGTTTTCTGCATTATTTACAATGTATTGGTATTGCATGTGGAAGCAGAATGAATTATGTTATTTTGGAGCTAGGTTTATTGTCACATGCACTCATATGTACAGTGAAAATTTACAAGTCTGTACTTACGGTGCCATCTTAGGGGCAAAGGTACCTAGGTACAGATTCTTAAGTACAAATTCTTAGGAAAAAAAAATTGGAAAAAGAAAAGAAATAAAAATTCCAGCATTACAGACTTTTGTGCCATCTTAGGTGAAAAGTACAAAACTACAAAAATAAGTCAGAAAAAGAAAGAAATAAAATGTTCAGTTTTACAGTTCTTTCAACCCAGTCTGCACCAGCACCTCGTCTCCAGAACACTCTGAGCCTTGCTTCTGGTCAGGGTTGGCTCAAAGCACTGGTATAATTGAAGAAAATAAACAAACTTATTTTTAGTAATGTTGTGAGCATGATTCAAAACTACAGCATTTTTCAATGCAACTAATTCCATGTAAACTGAATTATGACCCAAAAGATTCCCATACCTGTATAAGGAACAACACCTGCTGTTAATTAAACCTGTTTAACCTCATGATATTTTGCCCTTGAAGCTGCCTGACTTCCTCAGCGGGCATCTGGCATTTGAGTGACGAGGGCAAATATCTGGGTAACTCCGGGCATCTGGTTTTCTGGCACTCTGTGGGAGAAACAGGGTTAATATTTCTGGTTGATACAATGGTAACTCTGTTTTACGCTTTACAGATTCTCCCAGGCCTACTGAATGTTTCCAGCATTTTCTGTTGTAATTTTTGCCTTCCAGTATCCCATTATTGCAGTCTGTAACTTAAATTTCCTTAGTCACTCACATCAGTCATTATTTAGAGCGCAAGGTTTGTACAATGAAGTATAATTTACTATCGTAAACTCACCATCAAATTAAACATGGAATGGCAAGTGAAGGGAGAATAGAACAATCTGATTAAGTGATGCAGGGAAAAGACAGGAAAAGCAAAACTTTCAGTTTAATTCATGTCATGCCTCACTGGGGTAGCACAGTGATCAAGCCCCACTATTCCTAGAGTCATCACAAAAGTGAAAGTTCTTAAAAGAGAAGCACAATTTCTCTAAATTAGCTGTTTTTCTGATATGGCTAGGTTGATCGAAAGCATGACTTAGGTCTCTGTACTTAACAAGAATCACTTAATTGCATGTAATTAGATTCTAGCTATAGATAAACAATTAAGCAAAGTAAACTCTACAAATTAAAACTTGAAACCCTTTATAAACCACACCCCCCCCCCCCCCCCCCCCACCCCCGACCCGCCTTACACACAGAGATGGACAAACATAAACAGAAAATGAAACACCTGGATAGTGGGAAAACTGACAAAATAGTTCCGTGTTTTTTGTTCACAAGATTTGTTGGGTTGGTTCTTCCGAATCCGAAGGTTTCACCTTGATCTATCTTCTTGTGAGTGCTTCCACTGGTTTGCAAGAAACACAGGGTGGCTGGTTCATTTCGAGAAGGTCCCTGACTCGTCTAATTCAAAGTTATAACTTGCAGCATCTGCTGAAGAAAGATAAGCTGGTTTTCTGCTTAATGCAGAAAATTCAAAGGGAGAGTGTGTTTTAGGCTGCTGCAGACCACCTCATTTCTCTTCTGGTTTAAAAGCTTCTCTTTATCTTGTTCGCAGCTCAGACTGTTCAAAGTGCAGTTCTTGACAGGCAGAGACCTTTGTCAGTGGTTTGTGGACTAGCGACCAATTATCAATGAAGTTTCACTCGTAAACAACCCCTCAGCTCTTGTTTGTCTGTACTTTCATAGAATCATAGAATTCCTACAGTGTGGAAACAGGTTCTTAGGCCCAACAAATCCACACCGACCCTCAGGGCATCCCACCCGGACCCATCGCCCGTAACCCACCTAATTTACACATTCCTGAACACTACAGACAATTTAGCATAGTCAATCCGCCCAACCTGCACATCTTTGGACTGTGGGAGGAAACCGGAGCACCCGGAGGAAACCCACGCAGACACGGGGAGAATGTGCAAACTCCACACAGATAGTCACCCGAGGGTGGAATTGTACCTGGGTTCCTGGCGTTGTGAGGCAGCAGTGCTAACCACTGAGCCACTGTGCCACCCTTTGTTGGAAGCTACACAAACAAGGTTCACAATAGATATCAGATTCCTTGCTTTCTAGATATGCAGCCATTCATGTAAATCCATGGATTTCAAAATAGTTCTTTTCTCATTTAAGTCCACTGTTTTAAAAAGTGCAAAAATAAGAAGACACAGTCTTTACGAAGTCAAGCCCCTATTCCCAGAGTCAGCATAGAAGTTCAGGATTTTATAGGAATATGCAAAATTCTCCAATTTACCTATCTTTTTTGATGGAAAATACAAATTAGGTTTCTACGCTCAAGTATACTTAAATTGGGGAGCTAATGGCCTAGTGGTGTAATTACTAGACTGTTAATCCAGAGACCTAAGTAATGAGCTGGAAGTAAGAGTCTAACGATGACCATGACCTTTGTTGTTTGTCAGAAAAACCTATCTGGTTCACCAGTGTCCTTCTGGTTCACAAACTGCCTTCTTTACCTAGTCTGGTCTACATGTGACGCCAGATCAACAGCAATGTGGTTGACTATTAACTACCCCCCGACAATTAGAGATGGCTTGCCAGTGATGCCTGTATCCTGTGAATGACTAAAAACAGTATTACTATTTATTACAAATAAATAAGTTAACGGAAAACAGTTATTAACATTTGACATGATAAATCAACCAATTACAACTATAATTTCCTTATAAAACTCTCCCTACATGCAGTTGCAGGCAGACATAGACACGCAACAAACATTGGTGTTACGTGTTGAGGGAATAACTGGGAGGGCAGTTTGATGGTCCGTGTATACTGGATTTGCTGAGATTTCCTTTTGGCTGCTCGGACTTGCAATTCGATGATCTCTGTTTTTGGTTACTTTCACCTGTCTGCAGGAAGCATAGAGCAACTGCTTCATATCTCGCAAAGTTTCTGACTTATTGGTTAAAAGCAATAGCACACAGTGATTAGTGAGGGCAAATAAACTGGCTTGCTTCAGGCTTTTGGTGTATTTTTCTTTGTAGAGGTAAAGATATCACCTTCCTTTTGGGAAGTCCTTTAAGGCTTTTGACCATTTTTTTTTCACACACACGCAAGCAGTTCAGGTACCAGGGAGCTAATCACAGAGTTGTTGGCAGGCAGAAGGCTTTTGCCATTGACAAATGGTCATCCGGCCACAGACCTGTCAGCTACATGTTGCTGGCCAAATCTCTCTTTGTACACACTCCATGCTGCCAGTTTGTGTGCAATTAAATATTCCTCATTGGTGAAAAGACAACAATGTAAACAGCACTTAGAAGTAGTACTGGTTGCTTGCTTTTTAAATTGCAGAAATCCCTTCCTTAATCCTTGATTTGTAAAACTGCCCTTTTCACATTTTCAGTTCATAATCCAGAATACATAAAAATAAAAAGGTACAGTCTTTCCATGCGAAAAATTTCCAGCAACAGTTAAAACTTTGACAATGTTGTAGTAATTAATTTTCTGTGCCAAAGAGTTTGAATTACCATAATTAACATTTAATATCTTTTTGAGAGGAGACTGAAGACTTAAAATGACAACTTTCTGTGGTGAAGTTGTGTCGTATCTATATTGCACATACTGCAACTTATCTTAGCTCGATCTATTTCAATGGGAACCTGACAATGTGATGCCATTTTTATAAAGTTAACAGCGGACCAATGCAACTCCGATAGCAACTTTTCAAAATCCATCTGTGCTGTCCTTTGCTTGAAGTTGCTGTGGCACTTGTGCATAGGTGTTGGTGACTAGTCTTAGCCTCACTGTTATTTTGACAGCAAGTTTTGAGTAATTACTTTTACCAATGCAAAAACATGGTGCTCAATGGACATTGAAACAATGAGATATTGAAATACTAAGAATTATGTTCTTTTTTCCTCCAGCCCCACACATTTGGAATCATTTAGTTGAGACATTTGCTTATATTTGATCTTGTCTAATTCATGACTGTTTTTGACTCTAGGGCCTGGCTCTATTTTCTTTGAGGCTAATGAGCCTTCTCTTTTGTTTAAATATCAGTATGGTAATTTAATACTATGTAGAGGATTAATTTGTCTTCATCAATTTAATCCAGAGATGAGTATCCACTTGTGAAAGAAAATTCTATTTTTAGTCATCGCCCTCAAACCACCCTTTGTTCCAATCTCCCTGCTGTCCCTATTTTATTTACTTTGGTTTCTATTCTTTCTCCACAGCTGGAAAGGTGAAATTGATTAGAAGACAGAATTTGCCTCAGTTGCCATTACTGTTGCTATGACTTTGCTTAGTCAAAGAGCTTTAACGCAGAATTGTTTCTGCCAGCCTGGCCTCTTCTGACTGACTCTTTATTCCGGAATCGAGTAATTGGTTGTTGTGAAATGCTGTGTGCAGCAGCTTGGCTAAGGACTTTGAAAACCATCTATTGTGAGCAGCTAGCTAAAGTTTGTTCATTTAGCTCCCTAAATTGAAAATACATTCGTCATCAAATGATCACTTTTAAAAAGTTTACTCATCAAAATGCTTTGCTTCTTGTCCTAATCATTGCACAACAGCCCCCTATTTAAGAGAAATCTAGCTTGTAACATTTAGGTTTTTGTTACACTGTGATGTCTTTATGATGGAAAGGTTTGCTAATAGAAAGAGATCCCATATGGGAGATATTTGAAGTAACTCATTACAGTTTTATTCTATAATCCAAGACTCCAGATAAAATAGTCCATTTCTATGAAATTCCTTGTTTATGCTTTGTCATTGGGAATCCTTCCCCTCAAAAATGGAGGAACTAAGTTTCTCTGGCCTTAGACTAGCAACCACAATGCATGTTTCAATCAATTTATGAAATGTGCACAATTTAATTGGGTTAATGTAATTATTTCAGATTTGTCAAACAATGGCCTAGTATTTCCAGATGGTAAATTCAAAGGTTCTGTTATAATTCATTAAGAGTAAAGTGTCATCAGGGTATTACTTTGGGCAATAATGTAGCAAAGATAACTTTTCCTGTCACGCCTTTTAACAGTGCACTTAGAAGAATTGTATATCTTTACCACACCATAATAGAGCAAATTGGAGCCTTGGCCTTTTCTTTTCATGTGTTTAACATTTATGTTTGCAAACAAGATTTCTCAGCCAAGATTTTGTATAATATGCCACTTTGCAGATATGTCTGGTTATCATTACTTGTTCAAGTTGCATTCAGGAACGGGGCTAATCTATAACGGTGCAGTAATAGTTTGCATAACATTTGCCTATGCACAGAAAGAAAGCTATTATTTTCCAAATTTCCAAGGAAAATCTATGATGTATCGTTTGGCTGCAGTTGTCATTCTGTCTCGAATATACTGTAAGGGGAATGAATTGTGTTTTTCAATTTAGGAAAAAGAATTGTGCCATGTCAGCAATATTTTTAAGTATGTACTCTCGGTACAACACAATTTCTTTGTGAGCAATCTTTTGAATTGTAAGTTTTCTAATCAAGTTTTCCTTTCTTAGGAATTAAAACCGATCCATGCATTGGTAATTAAATTTGAATTAACACATAATAGTCTGGAATTTGCAATCACTGGTGAAGGCATTGCTCTAGCTACTTATCTTGATGATTGCTGCTAACACACTTCTCTGTTGACTTTTAAGCAGAGATTTACTACATTTGGTGACAGATCCAGTGTGGTGTCCTATATGGAGGATCTGAGGCATTTAGATTCAGATTTATTTATTTGTCACATGTACTAAGTATAGGAATACATAAGTACAGAGAAAAGTGCACAAAGTCTTCATTCATTGGCACTCACTTGGTTACAACAGCCAGAATCAAAAGATTTTAACAGACCGAAAAGATAAGCAAGAAGAAAAAAAGAAAAGACCAGATCTCAGAGCCCCAAGTCCTATCTCCACAGTGGTAGAGGCACCGTTCCAAAGACAAACAGCAAGGCAGATTGAAGGGAGCTGTTAACCTCAGCGTTGCTATCTTCTGTCATTTTCTGAAAAATGAATTGCAATATGATATTAATGTTATTGTTAGCTGTAAATACTCTAAAATACATTTTAATGTTCTTATGACTTAACCTATTTTTCTCATCAACCTGTTCAGAGATGTTATTACACACCTCTGGGGCAGGTGAGACTTGGACCAGGGGAAGGGACACTACCACTGCGCCACAAGAGGACCCCAAACAAGATTGTTAGTACCTCATTCCTGACTGTAATTGCATTTTAGACGTGGCTGTAGTTATGTAAGGGCTTAGGACCCTGGGACAACCTTGTATTGATAATAGCTACTTCTCATTGGGCATTAGTAGCAGTGTGGACAGAGCTGAGCAGAGAAGCATGTGTATTAAACCAACCAGCATTAGGCGGTTGAATTTATGGAATGGTCTTTACATGATATAACAGTAAGATTAAATCCTGGTACATCTCTGAATGCCATGTATTATATATAGTATCTGGTCTTTATAAAACTGTTAATTATATTTTAAGAAACCTAACCCTGAAGACAGTTCTTGACCTTGCCTTCTCCTCGAC